AAATACATAGCGTATTGCCGTACAATGAAAATCCTTTACATCTGGTGGAGCCTATGGACAGTCTATGTAAGGACTGGTGTTTTGAAACGAGTCTATTCTCAAGAGATAAATTCAGACGTATAGCCGATTCCACATATTATACGGCATATTTTTATTCGTTTTGCACGGATAGGGAAAGGTATGCTATGTCTAAGCATATTATTTTGCTATTCAAATTTTATTAATTTACTGAAAGTTATAATTATAGATACGAGACATTGACAAAGTCTATGATAAATATATTCATTCTGGACGACCACATGGAGACCACGTGGGGTGACATTAACCGTAAGGTAGAAAGTCATCTATACCAGTCTACAAAATTAACAAAATTAAAATATAAATTATTATTATTATAAAACAATGGGAACAGAAGGTTAAAGCTAAAGAAATTTACGGTCAGTTGCACGAAGTATGCGACAAATTATTGAACCCTGGTAATAGATCCATTCGGATGCATGACTGGAAACCCTATATGTTGGGCGCCTATGCTATCTATGAAGACCTGTTGTCGGCCTATAATGACTGCCAACGAAAACGGTGTTTAGGATTCCTGAAGGAGTGGACGGACAGTATGATCGATGAGTGCGTAGATCTGGAGGCAAACAAACGCATCGAAAACATCTCGCAGTTTAAGGAAGTAATAGCATCTTGCTGCAATTATCTCAATATAGGGTAAAACATATTATATTGTCAGGTGAGGGGCCGATCGATTGCCGTACTATTCTTCGTACAACTTATGGAATACGCGGACAACCTATTCGTACCTCAAGCGGAATGGGATCACCCAAAGTTTCAACGGTTACTTGTGCTGGCTACATATTTAGTCACCTTAGCCAATGAAGTCTATTCGTTCGAAAAGGAGGTTAAGGAACGGGACTGGAATATGACTGAGGCCTACAATATGGTTGCCTTTTATGTGCGCTTTAAGGGGATGACAGTGGCGGAGGCGATGGACAGTCTGGTGACTGACTACCTGGAAATGGAGGCGGAAATCGTTGCCCTAAAGAAGGAGGTGCTCACTGAGGACTGGCTCAGTCCTGACACCCGGATCTTTGTCGGAAGTATCATGTATTTCATCGGCGGATCGTTAAAGGCCGCAACCTTAATGGAACGCTATACAAGTTTAATGTAGCATGGTGATTAATGAATAATTACAGTGAATGGTTAGTATAATTATATACAAATTCAAATTGTAATAAGTTTTTTATTCTTTCAAATAGATGTATGTATTGTATATCATATTAAAGTGCTATTTCTCCCAAAGTATTATATTGCTATAAAGTAGTTGACCATGTATACCTTTGCCATTTACCCATACACTGCACACATATGCACTGCAGTGATAAATATACGCCTATGGGTATGGCAAAGGCACACATTATCGATCCACTCTAGTTACTATTTATAATGAAACAGATAATCACGAGATGTTAAATAAATATTAACTTTGTAGGGGAGCTAAAAGTACATAATTTACAATGAAAATGTTATAAAAATTATAAATATTATATTTAATTATTGTAATAGTATATTTTTAATGATATTTGTTTTATGTTTGAAAACTGTTACAAGTAAATATCAAAATATAATCATAATTCTTGAAATTAACATCTGCAATAAATTTTCAAAATTCTATAAAAATTAATATGTAAAAACAAATAGTAAATAACTGGAAATTTTAAAATTATTATTACTAGTAATTTATATAGTAAAATTATTAGATTTCAATATATAGAAACTATAGTAAACGTATTATGAACTATAGTATGAACATACAATAACACGATGACATCACCAATACACCAAACAAAATCAAACAAAGTCCAAGAATTCAAGCCCCGGTATCCTATTCCCGAAATACATAGCGTATTGCCGTTCAATGAAAATCCTTTACATTTGGTCGACCCGATGGACAGCCAGTTTAAGGACTGGTGTTTCGAAACGAGTCTATTCTCAAGGGATAAATTCAGACGTATAGCCGATTCCACATATTATGCGGCATATTTCTACTCGTTTTGCACCGATAGGAACAGGTATGTAACTCTTAACACATTAATTTGTTATGTAAATATACATCATAATTATTTTACTGCCCGTTTTAATAAAACGGTAGATACGAGACATTGACAAAGTCTATGATAAATATATTCATTCTGGACGACCACATGGAGACAACATGGGGTGACATTAACCGTAAGGTAGAGTCACCTATATCAATCTACTTAATGATTAAAATTAAAACATAAATTATTATTATAAAACCCCGGAAACAGGAGGTTAAAGCTAAAGAAATTTACGGTCAGTTGCATGAGGTATGCGACAAATTATCTGACCCTGGTAATAGATCCATTCGCATGCATGTCTGGAAACCCTATACGTTAGGCTTCTATGCTATCTATGAAGACGTGTTGTCTGTCTATAATGACTGCCAACGGAAACGGTGTTTAGGATTCATGAAGGAGTGGACGGACGGTATGATCGATGAGTGCGTAGACCTGGAGGCAAACAAACGCATCGAAAACTTGACGCAATACATGGAAGTAAAAACATCTCGCTAAAGATTATCCAAATATAAGCTAAAACATATTATATTGTCAGGTGAGGGGCCGATCGACTGCCGTACTATTCTTCGTACAACTCATAGAATACGCGGACAACCTATTCGTACCGCAAGCGGAATGGGATCACCCAAAGTTTCAACGGTTACTTGAGCTGGCTACATATTTAGTTGCATTGTCCAATGAAGTCTATTCGTTCGAAAAGGAGGTTAAGGAACGGGACTGGAATATGGATGAGGTCTACAATATGGTTGCATTTTATGTGCGCTTTAAGGGGATGACAGTGGCGGAGGCGATGGACAGTCTGGTGACTGACTACCTGAAAATGGAGGCGGAAATCGTTGCCCTAAAGGAGGAGGTGCTCATTGAGGACTGGCTCAGCCCTGACACCCGGGTCTTTGTGGAGCGTATCATGTATTTTATTGGCGGATCTTTAAAAGCTGTAAGCTTAATGGAACGCTATACAAGTTTAATGTAACATGGTGATTAATGAATAATTACTTTATATTAAGCAATTATAAAAGTATTACACTTTTAGTTAGTAAGGATTTATAAAAATTAACTAACTTAAAATTTGTGTAATCTTATGGATAAAAATAAACTTATTAAATGATTTGTGCATAATTCATTTTCAACAATAAAAGATATGCAGTAAATAATTCAAACGCTATATTCTATAATTTCCAAAGGGTATTATCTTTGATTAATAATTACCTTTTATACTTATATGGATACGTCGGTGCAGCATAAACTCTAGAAAATAGATTTCAAGCTGTAATTGTAGCACTAATATACAATATGTGATATGTAATATACAATATTGACTAAAAACAATTGAAATCCTTTCTATTTATAAAGATAATGTTAAATACATATTAACTTTGTAGGGGAGCTTAAAGTAATTTACTTAATTTACAATGTAAATTTTATAAGAATAGTTTAATTATTGTAATATTGTATTTTTATTGATATTTGTGTTATGTTGAAAAACTGTTACAAGTAAATATCAGGATATAATTATAATTCTTGAAAACATCTACAATACTTCCTACTGTGACCACCCGTCCAGGTTTGACCTGGACTGTCCAGGAATTAGGGTATCTGTCCAGTGTCCAGAGCAAGGTCTCACCTGGACAATGTAATGTCCAGGAATGGTAGAAAAGAAATATTAATATAGTTTCACATATTTTTTGACAAATTGAATAAATTAATGATAAGACCTCAACTTAATTTTGAGTTAGTACTGAAATTTGTTATATTTTAATAATTAATGATTAATTTAGTATTTTTATATAAAAATATATGATTTAATAATCCGTCATATTAATTTTGATATATTTTATCAGATATTTTACTTAGTGTAATATTGGAATATTATTTAACATTATTATAATTATCATTTATTTCACAACAATCATTATTTGTCTATTTTATGATATTATTTTAAGTTTATGAGTAATTTTCTGATATATTTTATGCGACGATTCCGTACATTTGCTGAACATTATTATTGTATATCATTTGTAAGTTTAAAATTTAATTCACAATTAATTCTTTTTATTTAAAATATTTATTTATTATATAGCTAAATTAATATGCGCTATATTTTAATTTAAGCTAATCTATATACTGAAGTACTTAAAATACTTAATACTTAAATTATTAATATTGCTATATATTTATACTCTTAATAGCTACACTATCATTTAAGCCTAATTACAATTCAAATACAATACACTACTTGTTGCAATCCTAACAATTATTTCATATTTGTTTAACGAATGATTACAAACTCGCAAATTATTTTCATGAATTTCGAAAAGTAATTGAAAATTAAATGAATATTTGAATTATTTTAACAATTATCTCTGGGAGGACATTATATTGAGGTTTTTGAGGGGCAGATTGGAGGACAATCCTCCCAAAAGAGGATGTTTGGCAGCCCTAAGGTTAGAGGGTAATTCAAAATACTATAATTTTTAATAAATAAACTTGATTGATTAATTTAAATAAACTATTATTAAATTATAAATTATGTTCAATGTCCAATTTAATTGATTCTTTTAATAACATAATTAATTAATTTAAAATTTGGAATTTTGATAGTATGAACTTTTATTTAACTTAATTTATTAAAAGATTTTGTTAACTTTCAATTAAAATAATGAAATATGAGTAAAAGGTTGCATTATACAGTACTATACCCAATAATTGTTTACTGCATTAATTACAACAAATAAATAAATTTAAAGTTCACTCGTATCAATAATTCAATAAATTATTTAATTCGATAATACTTTATTTTGTTTTACCCTGAATATGCGGGTATAATCCGCGGATTATCTGAGAAAAAGTGATTTTTCTGAAAAATATAACGGGGCGTACTATACGCGGATGCGTATAATGTGAACAAAAGATATTATTTTCAAATTAATATTTATTCATAAATTTTTAGCACTAACTCTTGTTACCACTTAAGTCTGTTATATTAACTCAAACACAATATGTTTTAATTTTTTTAACATTTCTACCAATAATTACAGTTTAATCTATACCAGACCTGTCTAAGGAGTCAAACTTACACGTTTTTAATATCTTTCATTAGTATACATATTAATATAGTACACATTAGTGTGAGTGAAAGATAATGATCTATACTGTAAGCAATATACGATATTTCAAACTTTGTATGCACATATTTGAGTATTACAGTCTATGCGTACTATACGCCGATACGTATTATACGAGCAAAAAACATAATTTCTCGATAATTACTGACTGCGGATTATACGTCGCATACGTACTATACCCGCATATTCAGGGTAATTTTTAATTAGGCACATTAATCCATAAACAAATTACTTTGCTTTTAACACAATCTGAAACTGTTTGGGGAACTGTACCCACAAATTACTAGGATCAGGCTCTAGTGCGCTATCACAATCATCCCTGTCCCCACTGAATTCAATGTTATAATTGTTGGTTAGTTGCATAAATCTGACCAGGGTCAATAGCAGGTCATTTATAGCCAACGTTTCACCCGGGCATATACGTCGACCATAACTAAAAGGTATATAAGCCGCAGGTTTGCTTGGTACGTATTTACCATGGTTGTCTAAAAATCGTTCAGGCTCAAAATTATCCAGATTATCCCAGTGAGCCTTGTCCATTAATACGCAGTATTGGTGTAACACAACTATATAAATAAAGTGAATACAATTAAAATTTATATTAAAACGGTAATAAAGTTTTAATTTTTACACTTGTATTTATTAAATAAATAAATTATGGTTACGAGTTAGCTTTCAAGATTTTCAATATACATTAGATAGCTTTTCAAATATACTGTATCTGCAAATTCTAGTACGACTTACTTGATACTATTTCGCACTATATAACTACACTAATATAACTTGAATTACAAGCAATGTGACCAGTTCAAAAATAAAAATACTTGTATTTTTAAATAGACCATACAACAAATATTTGACAAGTTTTTTTTGTGTAAAATACTATTAAACTATACTTTTATACTATTTAATACTAAATAAATAATTTATGGTTATGTGACCAGATCATTGCGTTGCCTGTTAATTTGAAGTTTTTGGTTTACATTACTAAATTGCCGGTTATCCCTGCACAATTTACTCACAATGATCCCAATAAGTTTTAATGTTAAAGCACTTTATTGAAAAAACCAGTAATAAAATCTGCTTTATTTTGTGTATAAAATACTGGCTTAGATTGTATAATATATACATTATATGAAAACAGAGTTCGTTAACTTGATTAATATCTAACTTAATATAAAAGTCACGTTTTATTTAGTTAAATCTGAACACTTAAAGCTAATGGATTGTTCATTGATCCCATTTTTACACACATTTATTATCCTATTCGGTATAATTTATATACATTTATATTACTAGTAATTCAGGTTATATTAATTAATATTACAATATACACAGTACGCACAAATATTAATTATATTGCACTCATTTATTTATTTAGTAAATTCAAATGTAAAATTTTTTATTAAAGTTTATTTATAAATTATAATTGTATTCAGTTTCTATATTTGTGTAATTGTTTAATGATTATAGTTAAACGTGTAATTTTTAATGAATAAGATCATTTTATATTAATAAATATCTCATTCGTTTCCATTAAAAAGGTAACTAAAACATTATTCATAACATTTTTTTAAGTAACATTGTTTTATAATAGTGTATTATATTGACAAGAAACATTTTAGTTTAGTTATTATATTAAATATAGTTATTCGTAATAGTAAATATTAAAATTTATTTTTTACTAAAATTGTACATATTTGAATTATAAATATTGTGGTACTGGTTAAATTATAATTATGTAAATTAGTTAATGCAATTAGAAGTTTACATAATTTAAAATTTATTTATTTAATTAAAGTTTATTTTGCTTAATTAGTTACAGTTACAATTATCATTTATAATTAGCATGGCCCCACCAGCAAATAATATGATATCACATGAATCGCACGAATTCAGGCCTCGGTATCCCATTCCCAAAATACATAGCGTATTGCCGTTCAATGAAAATCCTTTACATTTGGTGAACCCTATGGACAGCCAGTGTAAGGACTGGTGTTTCAAAACGAGTCTACTTTCGAGGGATAAATTCAGACGTATAGCCGATTGTACTTATTTTACTGCATATTTCTATCCATTTTGTAATGACCAAGATAGGTATGTATACATCATCTTGATACGTAAAAATATTTTAATATACTACTAAGATTTTATGTAAATTATAATATATTTTAGTAAATCATCTAAATTATCAATTCAATTATAAATCATTTGATTGGTAATACATAAAATAACTAGGTACTAGACGTTAAACAAATCTATTTTAAACTGTGGTATTTTAGACGATCACATGGAAACCACGTGGGGCGACATTAATCGCGATGTAGAGTGACCTCTGACAATTAATTAGACACACCTAATTTAGACTAAATTTTATGTTAACCACCCGTACAGGTGGTTATGGCAAAGGAAATTTATGGAAATTTGCACGAGATATGCGACAAGTTACTAGATCCTGGAAATAAAAGTATCAAGACCCATCGCTGGAAACCTTATATATTGGGCACTTACGCCATCTATGAGGTGCAGGTGTCGGCCTATAATGAGTGTCAACGGCGACGATGTCTGGGATTGTTAAGGGAGTGGACGGACGGTATGATCGCTGAGTGCGTTGACTTGAATGCAAACAAACGGATCGACAATTTGAAGCAATTCATGAAAGTATTACAATATTTACTTATAACCGATATTTAAGTTATTTTAAAATATCTACTTGTGTTAAAACACTTACAATAATAATGCAAAATGAACTTGTAAAATTAGAAAATTTGAAATACACGGAACTCAATATTCAATGAATGTCATACATGTACACAAAACATATAGCAATATAATATAATGTAATGCTAAAATATATCATTATAATAGGTAAGGGGCCGGTCGATTGGCATATATCTATACATACAATTCATAGAATACGCGGACAACCTATTTGTACCTCAAGAGGAGTGGGATCATCCAAAGTTTCAAAAATTACTTGAGCTTGCTACATATTTAATTACACTCGTAAACGAAGTTTACTCGTTCGAGAAGGAAGTTAAGGAAAGGGACGGCAATATGGCTGAGACCTACAATATGGTTGCCTTTTATGTGCGCTTTAAGGGTATGACCGTTAAGGAGGCGATGGACAGTCTGGTTATGGGTTACCAGTCAATGGAGTCGGAAATAGTTGTCCTAAAGGAGGAAGTGCTCACTGAGGATTGGCTCAGTCCCGACACCCGGGTATTTGTGGAGCGTATCATGTATTTCATTGGCGGTAATCTGAAGGCTCACTCACTAATGAAACGCTATACAAGCTTAATGTAGCTTGATATTTTATAGTTATTGGTAATTTTTATTTTTAGGTTTTTAGTGCTATTTGTTAGGGAAATTAAATTAGTATGTTTATGGAAATTAATTTAAAATTAATTTAAAAATTATTATATTTTTATATATATTACGTATTTATTTTCTATTAATATATATATTACACCAGGGTAATTTAAGTTTTACAAAATTTTAGAAATAATTTACTTTTTTATAGAAATAATATAATATGCTTGTTCACATTAAAGTGATATTTTATTATACTTCCAAAATTGTGTAATATAAAATAACCTATTATTTACCTAAATGTAAGTTATAATAACAAATTAAAATTTTTTATTAACATAATTTAATTGATTTATTTGATTTTAATTACTCTCCTTGTAGCCTATTTAATAAACTAAATAAAAATGTACGTTTAATTGTTATCAAAAATTTTATATTACCCTGAATCTATGTTTCAAATTACTATGGAGATTAAATGATTATAAATATTGTTGACATTAAGTTCATAACATACACAATATACAACCATTGTTATTTATATTAAAATACTAGATGAGACGTTGGAAACAATGTTTTTGTTAATATATTTATTATTTGTGCTAGGTCTACCAAAAGTTATATATCCGAAATATTATATAAATAATTCACCTCATTATGAAACAAATCATTTTGAGGACAGTGCATTTAATTGTATGAGAAAAATATATTCAAATGTTTCTAGTTGTAAAATTGATAATGGTCATTTTGACTATTGCGAGTGCGATAAGAGTAAATCATGTAAATGGCTCTTGGCACATATTGATTGTAATAAAATTTTCGCTCAGGTAAAATTTAATATCTTATATAAAAATTTAGAAATTTAATTAATCATGTTAAAATAAAATATGTTTAATATAACATTAGTATATTTGCGACAAAGATGAGCAAGATGCTGTTGACGATATACTCGCTACTATGGGTGTCATGGTTATTGACGTTGAAAATGGTATGGAGATATTATATGACCAAGCTGATTGTGGTTTTCATTTGATGCTGACTAACAAATCCACAAACTTTGTTAAATTACGCGAATTCTATTTAAGTACAATAATTTTATTTATACTTTTAAAATTGTATCATGATGTATATAAGTACAATTAAAAAACCTTATGATTATTTTAACAATATTAACATTAAGATTAATTATATTTTTTATATTTAATAAAATTACATCAATTAAAAACTATCAATTACAATTTAGTATCATTCTCAATGTTATTTACAATAGTATTCTCCCATGCGTTTATAAATATTAATATAGTTTTCACTATTTTTTATTTATCGTAAAACAAAATAGTTATATATAAAATAAATAAAATCTTTAAAGTTAAATTTAATGAGTAAACACAAAGTTTAGTTACATTATTGCCACTAAACATGAAATAAATAGCAGTGATGCCAAATATAATATCTAGACACAAATGCCAAAACATGAAATATTTAATTTTATATATTAATGAATTGAATTCATTTCGCGTGAATTGTCTCATAAATAGTCGGATATGAAAGAGATATTCATTAGGTATGGGCGGCACAATAGACCGCATTTTCAGCGCCTGTATGTCCAGTATATGCAGATATTTGGTGTACAGCGAGTAGTATATTATAAATAACACAATAAACCAGCCATTAATGTATAGAAAGTAAAAGCATCCGAAATATGAATTAATCTGGATCATATTAGTTGTTGAATTTTGAGTATTGGGTGTAAATTTATTATTCAATTCTTCATAAAACATATAATATCTCATTA